CTTCATATTTTTGGGGGGGTATTGTTGACAAGAGGAATGGCTGTGTTTATTGTTTAATGTTATATGGCCCCGGTTATGCACAGTATATATGTGACTGTGCGAAATGAAAATGGAAAATAAAAAATGCATTTACACAAGAATTCTTCAAACTGCATTCAATGACAATCAATGCTGAAATTTTCCTTCTTTGTAATTTAACAATAGAGCTGAACTGATAGAATTCCCCTATTCTGATGTCTTTCAGGATCCATATTTCGGTTTCTGTACAGTAGCATCATTCCTCCCCATCAGAAAAGAACACTTATGTGGTGGCATTGCTTTTATCCAATGAGACAATTAAATGAAAATCCTACTGTTAATAAAACAACTTTTAATTCTTCCAAATCATCCCTTTAAATAAGCATTTCCCCTATCTGTTTCCATGTGTCTGGGGAGCATTTGGACCAAAGGAATGCACTACACAATAGAGGAAGATATTGAAATTTCCCACACCACTTTCCACATTTGGGAGACTTGAGGACAGGAGAATTAGAACAGCAATGGGCAGAAGGAGACATCATAGAATGCCATTACACAGGACTATTTCTTCTTGCCTTTTGGTCTTATTCTAGAGTCCTGGATGCCAATTTGGCTTCAATCTGCTAATACCAGTAATAAGGTCATGCTCCTCCATGACCTAGCTACAAGGTAAAACTGGTGCGAATAAACTAAATCCTGATTGGTGAAAACATGGAAGTTCCTCAACAAAAACATTTGTTCTTCCAGGCCTTATGTGCCTAGGAGCTGTAACACCAAGGAAGGTGGTTTGTAATGTTTCTCTTGGAGATCTTTATGGCAATCAGATACACTGATGTATGACTGGATATTAGACCACATATTTTTGGCTGGCCATGAGGGAATGGGGTCTGGTGTTGAAATTCATGGCCATCATGACAGATATAGCAATAGCAGTTAGACTTATATACCGCTTCATAGGGCTTTCAGCCCTCTCTAAGCTGTTTACAGAGTCAGCATATTGCCC